TTCTTTAACATCTTTGGTGCTTTGCATTAAATTATTTAAATTCGAAGTGCATTTAATATATTATTTAACATTCTGACGTAAGCCGTATTTCAAGCAGGATTTGATTTCAAATATTGGAAATCTGTGTAGAATCATCTCGAATATTCAAATAAATTTCTAAAATATTCTGAATGTAAGGATGAGGATTTAAGGATTGTTGTTTTGATTTAACTATAGTCTGGTAAATGCACTGATGCTGTTTCCAATAAAAAGAAACCAGCATTTTATGAAATCCTCTCCCCGCCCGCCAGTACCGAGGAATAAGAGGGAGAAGGCTTTGCAAATGCAAAATCTTGTTTTCAGTTGAAAATTTGGAAGGATTGCTTTTCAAAAATGTGTTGCTTGCTTTAAAAGTATTTATTATAATGCCGTCGATTACATATTAGAAAACCTGTTTGGTTCTGGTTCCAAAATATGGCAGGCTTTATGAAGGAGCTTCGCTCACAATATGATATAGAGAAACGCTTTTGTCATGGATCAGGTAAAATGCCGTTTGCGGTTTTAGCATTTACCACATAGTACTGTGTTTACTGTTTATAAAAGAAAGACGGGCAGTGTTCAGGAAATTAAAAAAAGTCCTTTTAAATAAATCATTTTTCCACACTTGAGAGAGCTTTGAAAGAAATTTCAGTTCATTTTGTTAGTTTATTTCTTCTGCAACTCAAAATATTTCACTTACATATCTCTCTCTTTTAAGATAAAAAAATTCATTTTAATCATACTTAACAGGAGAGATTTAAATGCGATTGTTTATAATGCCATTGATTTAACGTAATTTATTAATAATGTAATGGTTCGTGTCGGCGGTATTTTTCATAGTTACTAGCATAGGGTATTTCAGTGTTTAATACTGATCAAGAAAATTACTTTGTGCAAATACTGATCAAGAAAATTACTTTGTGCAAATACTGATCAAGAAAATTACTTTGTGCAAATACTGATCAAGAAAATTACTTTGTGCAAATACTGATCAAGAAAATTACTTTTTGATCAAGAAAATTACTTTGTACAAAAACTTCAATATTACCATGTTTTACATAATTTTAAAGACTTTTTAAATATCGGAAAGTTTAAGAATAGTTTGTGCTAAACGGACATAATAATTGTTGATATTCGAGATTTAAGTTCTCATTCGCGAACAAAATATAAGGACTGTGGGTAAATAACGCAACGTCAGTTTAAAGAAAATACAGTACTATCGTCAAAAAGAATTTTAAAGTTTACCATGTCAACCATAATAAATTCGTGGCATTAACCTAAGTCATTAGCTGTGAATTCGATGATTTATTTTTTCACTGACTTCCATTGTGTTAAATAATTTTATCGCTATTGATTAGCTTCTGGACTTCTATTTATTAAAAAATTGTATATAAACTTATAGACTTGTTTTGGAAGCATAAACTAGATCCAAACTCTGACGGACGTAGAGCAAATTGTTGCCATGTCTGAAGTAACAATACAGACTTGAAATGGTTTAAACAAATCTTAATTTAAAAAAAAAAAACAGGACTTGAACATTAACGTACGTCTTGTGCTTAACAAAAAGAACCACTGTTTGTGGCGATGAAACTAAAGTAACAATCAAATTCGAATTTAAAACATAGACGACTCGTCAAAGACTACACAGTTAAATTTAAATTTAGTTGGTTCAAAAAAATAAAATTAAGCTGTAAGTTGCATGTAAATTAAAGTAAAAATCATGCTGCTTCAAAACTGTAACCGGCGTAACAATTTAAATATTAAAAACAACGCAAAGCCGAATAATTACAAACTTATCAGAGGTATCAGAACTAAAGTAACGTGGCCTCGAGAGGCAAAAACGCGCTGTGTATTACAACTACAATAGAAAAACCTCAGCTTAAATACTGTCTATTTCAGTGTACATTGCAGTGAGAAAATGGGAAAGAAAAGTTATATAATAAAAATTTTAGTCATAATAGCTGGTTAATTTCAAATAATAATCCTACAGCCTGACGATAAATAATATTTACTGAGAGAGGGAAGTAATTAGATTTATTGAAAATTCTCTGTGCCCTTCCATCTTATAATACACAAGAAATATTCCCAACAATGCTTTACATTTTGTTTTAGTGCATGATTTAAATACTACATAAACAAATCTAAAGGAGTCTTGTGAAAGCTGCTTTCGACTCCATAATGTAGATAAGAGTATGTTACTGTATCTACTTTTTCATTTTAATTTGCCTTATGTATGTATTTCTCCCACAGCACGTTGAAAGAAATTCATTAGTATGCGCCAAAACAGCTTGATTGGTATGTTAATGTCCTTGTTTTGCATGCGGCTTTTCCGATGAGATCTTCAAGCACCAGTTTTGGTCACCTGTCCTCCATCTCTAGCCCCGTAAACTTGTTTTTGTACGTAGTATGCAATCACATGCTAATCACGTGCGATTTCTTCCCTTGTGGGGTTGTAACATTGCAGATTTTTAATTCTTTCATTAATAGAAGATGTGTTCGAATGCTACGTCGAATCGTCATTACAAATGCGTGTTTTTATGTGGAGGGTGGTTTTGGTGCAATGCATTAATCACACTAGAAGTTAATCACATAATGTGTTTACACTGGTTATTACACTGTATAAAGTTGCTGGCAGGAGCTTGGAGAATAGAATCGTATGTATTTGACGTTTCCTTTGAATAGATACGAGATACTTCTAAGCGACTTTATTTGGGAATTGCGATGAAAAGCTTGTTTTACATTGAGTCCAGTGAGGAAATCGGTGAATTTCAGTAGATCTGAAGGTAAATCAGAATTTCTGTTTTCGGTTAATGTGTAGACTAGATATAGTTTAAAGGAATGGGAACAAATGAATGTAAGAATTTTTTTCCGTCTGTAGTCGCTAGTATTCGCCCTACTCGGTTTATAAGAATTTGCCGATTACCTTTTTATTACAAAGGAGAAATCGAAATTTCCTTTGCCTACCTTATCACAGAAATTTCCGAACATTTGATCTTAAGTCAAATATTGCAAATAAAAAAATAATAACAATAAAGAAATAATACTATTTATAGATATTGAGAACGAATTACTCTTTGATGTTTCAGTCTTCTAAAATTCAGTTTAAGGAAAATACGATAAAGCCTCCCCCCATTTGAGAAAATAAGTTACTAGCCTCTTTAATTATATATTTTCAAGGTTTCATAGTTTAGAATTGACTACTGTAGAAGTTCTATTTAAAGTAGAGCATTTGCATTCAAGATATTTTTTATTAGTGTTGTTATTAGTTAGTCAAGTTATTTTATAAAATATTAGAAGTGTATGTATGAAATGGGAAAAGAAGCTTATTTGTACGCACATATGCTGCATGCACACATAATCGTACTTATTCTTATAAGTAACATAAACTAATGTGCAGTGTATAATATATATTAAGTATAATATGTAACGTATGCAGCTCATTACAAGATCCTAAAAATGAATTTTAGAAAAACGTTGCATGATCGTGAATCATTAGCGATTGAACTTGCAGAAATTCGAGACGAAATTTTTGAAAAGGTAATACAAAAGGCTGTCTCTTTTTGAAAAAATTGGGTGTTGATGCAACAGTCCATGTTAGGAGACGCCGAAAAATACGCGGAGAATTGCCTAGAGATGTTGGCTTTCCACAGAAAGTGAAATTTCTCCCTTTATGAAAAATGTTTCTGATCTACTGCAGCAGGAAATAAGTGCACTATTCACACGACTAAGTGATTTTAATTCCAAATTTGGATATTTGCTGAACGTTGAAAACCTATTAAAGAAGAATAATCGTTATAATGATCTTGAAAATAATTGTACAAATTTGGTTGAATTTTATAATACAGATTTTAATGGAACAAAATTCTATGGAACAAAACTTTAATGGAACAAAACTAAAACAAATATATGACTGGAAGATGTTACACCGCAGTAGAAAAGAAATTGAACCTAAAATTCCATTAGAGCTTCTTAACTTTACAATCTCGTACGAAGAAAATGTTTTTCCTAACCGGAGAGTCGCTCTTTAAATACTCCTTACAATTTCAGTATCAACTTGCTAGATGTGAACGTTCGTTCAGCAAATAAAAATTAATTTTAGCATATCTACAGTCAATGATGGGACAAGATCACTTACGTAGCCTAGCATTTTTAAATGTGGAAAGAGAAAAATTTGAAATGATCGACTTTGAATTTGCTTCATCGAAGGCAAGAAAAATGTATACACAATAATTAATTGTATCAATAATTAATTGTATGATTTTTTAAAAACAGTTGCTATTTATTTTACATATATATATTTTTAACTAATTCTGAATGAGCGTATGTCTGACTTTTCTACTGACACAGATACATTTCCGAATCCAGTCCTAGTCTTGATTTTTTTAACTAGATTTTTTGTCTCAAAGCTAGCCTGTAATCGCTAGAATGTGTATACCATTTATCCCGAAACACTGTATAGCATTTTGTAGAACTTGTAGTTAGGTAGTAACTATTCGTAATTATATTGTAGAGCATTTTAAGGCAGATACGGCATTTTATTATTATTATTATTATTATTTGTATTATATTCTTATTACGAGTATATATTACTATGTTTTTTTTTTGGGGGGGGCGACGATACCTTTTTGGCGCTACGCCACTGAGCGCATTTTAAGGGATGTTTATGGCACGATCGTAACTTCAGCAGAGCCTCTTGCAGTGACTTTTATTTGAAAACCGCCTCAGTAATAAACATACATTGTTTTACTAGATGTTTGTTTTAAATATCATCTAATTGTTCCCAGCTTAATTTTAACCGATTTTCATTTTCCCCATTCCATACCATTTGCAAATTCATATTTAATTTATATTCAACAAAAAGAAATCTATACATCTGGTCTTTATTTGCATGTTCTTTTAACTTCAAGCTGAATTTTATTGATAAAAATCTGTATCTTTTATTATATTTTCGTCTCTTTATTAAGTCTTATATTTTTTTACAGGTAAATACTTTAAAGCTCACTGAAGAATCTACCTGCCTCCTAGGTATTTTACTTTCAACTCAGTCCTTTAAGTAGAGATAAATGTAAGTCATGTTAATATGTGTCTTCGAAGAATAACAAATATTTTTTTGAATACGTAAAATCAAGAACGCTAGAACTTTTTTTTTTTTTCAATCTTTCATTGCTTTTTGCCTTAAGAACATAATGCAATTTCCTAAAAAATTCTTTGGTCTTCAAATAAAATAAAAAATATATTCTTAATGATTTACATCATTTTCATCATTGCTTACTGATATGTTTATCATTTCGTTAAGAGAGGATTTTGCTCGACTGTTTTCTCAATCATTCTCCCTAAACTATGTGGACAAGTCATATAAATATGTGAAAACATAAATTTTAAAAAAAAATAAGTGGTTTAATTAAGATATAAACAAACTTTTTCACATTGAGAGCCTTGAGGAACCTCACTTTTTTTTTCTTTAAATAATTTAGTTTATTTCACGTAATGTAAGTCAGCTATTTATTAAACTAAGAATCCCTCCAAAGAGACATCGCAAGTTGTTTATCATTTTAAAATGCGCAAACGTTTTAATAGTAATTCTTGAGGATTAACGATGTTTATTTAATATAAAATAAAATATTAACATTTTGTTCCTTAAATATGAATTTTCTGGCTTAGAAAACTCTTGTAAGCTTTTTGAGGATTAGATAATTATTTCTTTGCGGAGATTGGAGCGTGGTACAATATTTATCTTTAGTACTTGTTGCGAAAATTAGCGAATTTTTGTTTTCAGCTGTAGAATTAAATCTCGAGATTTCTTTGAAGCTCGCTGAAATGGGCAATAAACAGTGCTCGAAGTTTTTAAATATTTTGCGTACTTTGGGCATGAAATGGTCTGCTGCGAATTACTCTGTTTACTATACCATTACCGATGTTTTCATATTCATTCAAATAGTTTTGAACGCACGCAGAATAAGTCTATTTTCACCTAAGTATAGTTTATATAGGATTGTTTTCAGCGAAATTTCTAAGGCTTTTCTTTTGTTTTTTTATTGGCTTTAAACGTTGTTGATGTAATTATAAGTGTTTATACTATAGCTTTTTTGTTCTTAATTGCGCATTTAGAATGCTTTACAATATTTTTGTAAATAATGTTATTTAGGGTATGCCTGTAAGATTCGCATTCTCTGTTGTGATATTTTGAACCAAATAAAATTTGTAAATTTCTTTCCGTTTCAAATTCAAAACTGATTTTGTACCGCTACAGTAGTTCAATTGCGCATTTAGACCTATTTAGTGTCAAGTAATCTTGTAAGTTCCTTTTACTTTTATATTACTTGCTGTTGGAAGTGCTTTCAAAATTTAATTTGTTATACATAAATTACATCGTAATATATTTTTAAAATTGTTTCCTGATTTCGGTGTCATTTCATACTCCACCTTTCTGTTAAGTATTTCAGAATTCAACGAAAATCAAAAAAAGAATTAATGACAAATCTACTAAAGTGAATGTATACATTTCTTTATATTTATTAATTTAAAATAGCATTTTCTTATAGAAGTAAGACGTGGGAAAAGTCTTTCTGATAAGTGCTTCATTTGTCTAGCCTATCGAACTCCAATTCCTGAAAACTGTACCTTGACATTTGGGTTGAAAACATAGTTGAGAGAAATTAATGACTTTGCGTGACTTCTTCCATTTGAGCCCCCTTGCATCCCCCTCACATACGAGGCGTCGGTACAGCTCTGTACATTATTAGAGCATCTCCCCCCCCCCGAGAGCATAGCGTTTGTTTAATTCTTTATTCGTTTCGTCCGTAATCCCTCCTCTTTGTATCATTTTTTTTTGCTCTCGTTGTAAATTAGATTCTTACACTTCTCAAAAAGTTCATTCTCCTCTTCATAGAACATGGTTAAAAAGAGGGAAAGGAAAGAAAATACGGTGAAAGAGCGAAGCTAAATCTAGCATTCGATGAAATATGACTTTTGAAAACATGTTTCTGCCGTATTCTAAAATAAGCGAAAGAGGGAAAAAAATTCGCCATAAAATAAAAACTGATAGATGTTGTTCCAGGCTACATTATGAGCAGGCATTTTCATATTCTTTTTGCATATTTGGATCGTTTCTCTCTCTCTCTCTCTCTCACACACAAACACAAAGAGACATATATATATATATATATATATACACGCGCACAGGCAGACTTTTTAAAATGGTGTACAAAACTTGGATTACTCAACTTTAATCTTCTTCTCTAGATCAGCAATAAGCCAAGCGTATTTTCATGGCGCAGAAAAGAATAAAATTCTGACATCAGCAATTTTCACTGTTCTTTCTTTTCTTCATTGCTTTCTGTTCTGCAGCTTCTGTATGTTTTTTAGTTTTTGGTGAATGGCAGCGGTTTTGCAGATTGAGGCAGTTTTTTTTCCCCTCCGAATAAAGCATGCAGAGTTCACTTTGATTTGAAATTTCGTTCCGTTTTCTTCGGAAAGTGCCTTTTGTTTCTCCATTCGAAATTTGACATGTGAAGTCTCTGCATTGGCTCCAGTATTCATTCGTTCTTCACTCTACTCTTCCATTCATTCAATTTCTTTCGCTTCTCTGGCCAGCTACTCTGATTTCGTGGTAATTGTTTTCATGAATAAATAGGCTCATTGTTTGAGTAAGCTTTACTTTAAAGCCCGTTGCTCTCTTTTTTTTTTTTTTTTTTTGGTTGTTTGTGTGTGTGTGTGTGTGTGTGTAATCAAAAGCAGCCGTAAATGTTTTAGTTGCTGTTAAGAAACGCATACTGGAGTTTTCGTAAGAGTTTGTATGTTCGCTAATCAAAATTCCTCCTCGTCCTCCTGCTCCTGAATATATAACATATATATATATATAATATATTCAGGAGCAGGAGGAGGAATTTTGATTGCGTATAAATGCTGATCCATAATAACTAGAAAAAAATTGGAGGCGAATGCAGATTAAATCAGTTTTATTTTCAACGACATGTTACAGCTACACACAAGTCGTCACATTAAATGCGCCTGTTCCAAAAGGCTTACATTTTAGATAAATTTGCAATAAGAAAGAAAGAACAGACAGACTGCAGTCCAGCTAAGGCAAAGCGTAGAAAGCAAATGCGTAATGTTCAGGATGAAATCTTAAATCAAATTGAGTTAGTTTTGGTTCTCAAAGCATTCTGATTGGGCAGTTAATATTGCTGTAAAATTACAGTTGTACTTTTATTTACATCATCATAATTACGTAAGAATAATATGACATAGATTTTTCTCGAAATGATTGAAATGATGAAAAGAAAGAGATTACTATTTTTAGAATAAAGGGAAATTAATTTACGCTGCTAATTTAATCTTTTACATATTCTTTATTTTTCTTACATGTATGTAGTATATATGAAGTGTACATATAGCAGTGTATACACACACAACTCATCGGATAGCTTCTCCATGTCTCTGTTTTTCCTCTCTGTTTTTATCTTTGCATTTTTTACTATTCTCTCCCTTCCGCTTGTCTTTTTTCCTCAATAAAGTCTTGCATTTTCTTTAAATTCCATGCTAATGTTTTTTTTTTCCTTTTTTTTTTATCAGGGTCGAAATTCGAATGCTTATTTCTGATTGAACTACTTCTAAAAGCGTGTATTCTTCTAAAACTTAGTTAATGCATTTAGTCTTTCATAATAAACATGGATTGTATTGTTGGATTTCTATTAAACTAATGGTGCTTTGGGATTATTTGCCGAAAGAAATTTCTTCTCTACCCCTTTAGTCGGAGAAGGTCGTTGGCTATCATTGAAAGGATATAATTACGTAGTTGCTCGAATTAAATTACTTCGACATCTCTATTTTGCATAAGTACTAGTCTGAGTACAGATCGAGGAATGGAATCGAATTTGTTTTTGTGTCTCCGTCTGATCATTCCCCCATTTAGCGCTGTGTCCCGATTCTGTTTTAATCTATGTTACTTTGATTAAAATGTTAAAATAATTGCGACGCTAAAATACTTAAAATCATTTGCTACAGTAGTTATGACTTGTATTGATTGTATTTAGCAGAGATTAAAAAATGGGAGGAAAAGGTTTTTTTTTTTAATTTACTCATTTCAAAATGAATATGATTCGTGTTCATTTTTAATTCCAGATTTAGTTAGAATAAGATCTGTAAAAATATTAATTGAAAAACACACGCAGTTTGGTTAAGTGATGGTATAAGAAGGTTTGGTCGCATCGGTCAGATCTGCCACCAAGCGTATCAAAATACCTGCTTTTGGATTAAAATCATTTCATCATTATTTAGCCTGTTCTGATAACATAGTTAGTGTAACTTGCCGAGAAGCAAAATTTTTCATTTTCCTAAAAAATTTGAAGCTTTTATTGAATAGATTAGTGATGCAAAATATATTCAAAAATGTATTAAATTTATTATGGAAATCAAAGTTAAAAATATTTTTAAAATGCTTAGGCTAATTTTAATTCACTTCAATTTATTGCACCCATAAGCATGAAAAAACAAATTAGACATCTAAAGGATGAGGCATGGCAACAGCTCTCAGCACTGGAAGCTTGCCACTCCAGAGAGATGATGGATGTTTTGGTTATAATTGGAAGAAGTTTTAATAATAAAATTTTGCTAATGTCCTTCTGTCCATATTTCGTCATTTAATTCTGCATTTTCACAGTTTTCGCTTTCTTAAGATTGGGGATGTTATGCAAGACCATTCTTTTCATTTAGGATATTTTTTCCTATGGGCTTTAATCCTTATGCGTAAACATAAAATTTTAAGGTAGGAAAGACGGCTAATTGGTGCTCTTAATAAATTTTTAATTTAACTTTTTACTTGATTTTGCTATTTTTAATATTTTATAAAGGTTTTTCCTTTTCGATTTTATTTTCTGACTTAATTTGCAGTAGGTTGTAAGAACTACTATGTAATACTAAGGTATATGATTTATTACTGTGATATTTATTTACTTCAGTATTTACTTCGGTGAATTCTCAAATCTTACGCTCAAAATCGACAAAAATTGTTGCTGAATGCGAAATTAGTTTAAAAGTACTTATGATTTCGTTTCGGATTGAAAC